TTAATTTTTTTTAATTTTTAGAGACGGGGTCTTGCTCTTCTTGCTCAGGCTGGTCTTGAGCTCCTGAGCTCAAGCAATCCTCCTGCCTAGGGTGATGACACACTTTAACATAAAGGTATTCTATAGTCCTTATATTATTTCCAATCTGCCTATAAACTCCCCTCTACCACCCTGTTGCCTCTCTAACCTTTGTTTCTCAAAATAAGGATTCTACATTCTCTATTTTTACTTCTTCATCCTCTGTTCACTCCTCAAATTCATTCAAATTTGGCTTCTACCCTTACAATTTTACTTAAATTATGTTTGCTGAGGTTAATGACCTCTTCCTAACTACTAAAGCCAATAGGCACTTAATCAGTTCCTGTCTTCCGGATCCCTCAAACTCATTTGACTCCCAGAAAGACTTCTCTCCTTATTATTAATAAAACTCTCCTCTCCTGGCTTCTCTGACACCACTGCCTCCCAGTTTTCCTCCTTTCCTGAAGGCTCCTCCTTGATCTCCTTGACTGTCTCTACCCGTCACCTAATACTGGAGTTCCCAATCCTCGATCTTCCTCTCTTCTTACTCTATATATGGACTTGAATGATTTCTTACACCCTTACAGGATTAACTCTCACACATCCACTGCTGCTTCCAACATCTATAACTCTGAGCCTGACTTTGGAAAAACCTGATACCAATATATCTAACTGCCAACTAGACAGCTCTGCCAGATGTCCCACAAGAATCTCATTTTCTCTCAACATGCATTAACCTCTCAATTTACTAGTTTTATATGTGAATACACAATTACAATTCAAGTAAAGCCAATAAAATACAATACTTAAATTTTTCTTGAAGGGTTAAAAAAAATTTCTATTCAGGCTTTTCCCACAGTTATGAAGGTAACTCATAGTCATTAGCAAAACTACAAAATACAAAAGAGATGATAAAAAGCAAGTCTCCTCAAATCCCAGCTCTCAAAGGCAAGCCACATTAACACTTCCTTCCAGAAAAAGCAATTTTTAACCATGATAAGGTTACATATCAAAATATTACATTGGTAAACAGGGTTGTGTTGCTGTTGCTAATTCTCAACATATTCTAGTCTATTTCAGGAAAAACACAACTCTTACAAATGCCTATCCGGAATGAGAATCAGAATAATATTTTCATTACAAAAGCAATTCTTTTATATGCTGTATTTTAAATATTCTAAAGGAATCAATGTTTCTGGCTTGGCATCTATCCTGTCTATACCCGAACGTCCACCGAAGGTGCAATACACCCCAGAGTATCTTCCTATATTTAAAAGAAACCACAGCAAACAAAAAAGAACAGTAAAAAGAAGTCAAATCTAAAGACTTGTTGGATAAATCGTAGTTTGCAAAAACCAGAGGAAAGTGACATTTTAACACCCTTTCGCCGCTTCACAAAGTTTCAGAAACATCACCGATAAAAACCGTTTGCTAACCAGTTCTCATCAGACCTCGCTCGCCAGGGAAAGGAAATTCGCTTCTCTCTTTCCCAGAGTCCGGAGCCCACCTGGGATGAGTCGTCCGAGGCGCGAGCCCAGCACGGGGAGCGGGACGCGCGGCCGTCCCTTCCGGGGCCGGGGTCTCCCCTCTCTCCGGTCACGCGTCCCACTAACGGACCCACCAGCCCGGGCAGGACGGGGGCCTGGCCTCGCCCCACCGCGCACTCCGGCTCTCCGCGGAGAGTCACTGTCGCCCGGGCCACCGCGATCGCGGCTGTCGCGGGGCCTAAACCTCCCTCAGGCCCCCGCGAGGCAGGTGTTGCTGAATAGACTGGGGAACAGTCCCCGGACCCCCAACCACAGCGACATTTTTAAAAAGTTAAAGACAAGGAGACAAAAAGCCTTACAAAGCAGTCGCTCCACAGCCAGCCCTGCGATGCTGGGCACGAGGGGGCTCCCTGCTGAGAAGGGGCCGCTCTCACGCGCTCCCCCTCACCACGCTCGCCAGGCCCGCGCACGCCGCCCGCCCCAGAAGCGCACCTGAGCCGCGCCGGCTCCTTTCTCCGCCAGGGTCCCGCCGCCCTCCCCGGGTCTCCGCGCGCGGCTCTCGGGGCGCCCCCGCCCCACCCCACGATGAGGAGAGCGCGGCCGGCCACCTGCTCGAGGCAGTGGGCGCTCGGCCCTCGCCGCTGGAGACAATGTTGACTCGGATCACCTCACGTGGCCGCGCCCCGAGGTCCCGCCCCCTCCAGGGCCGCCCCTCCCCCTTCAGGTAACACCCCTCCCTCTTCCCGCCCCCGTCCCAGGGCTGCTCCGCCCCGCCCCCTTCGGGCACCCAGCACCCCCTACCCTCCGCTCCCCTCCCCAGCCCACTCCACCTCAGCACCCCCCGGCTCCCCAGGAGCGTCCCGCCCCTCAGTAGGTGAGCGGAAGGACGGGGTGGGGCGCGGCGGGGCAGGCAGCCCGCGCACCTGAGTCGCGCTGCGCCTGCGTCCTCGACGTCTCGGCTGCAGGCCGCGCCTTTCAGTTGCTCCCTCTGGAAAGGTCTAAAATGGAGCCAGGCAGAGCTTGGGCAATGTTGAAGGATCAGAAGGGAAACAAGCGAAGGGAAGGCTGTAGAGGGAAAGCTCTTGGCCTGATGAACTTTTCTGAACTGAGGAGGAAGGAGCAGTGTCTCTTGCCGGAGATGTTTCTGCGCTCTTTTATAAGAAAGGGAGAAAGTGTGGTGTTACTTGACTTTTAGAGTTTTTCTAAGAAGTCTGTTTAGTAGAGTCTTTGAGAATCAGCCCGCGTCTCTTCACCTTTGTTGCTTTATATCCGCGACTGCCTGGCCATCAGCAGGTGTGTTGGAGGGAATATTAGATGTATCCACCACAACGCCTCACATCCCTGGCTCTATGCTGGAATCCCCTCCGACCCTCGCAAGGGGGTGCCTGGCCCTTTTCTTTTATACTCCCCATGGCGGAAATCTCAACACTGTACCTGGGAAGTTGTTGAATGAATTTCTAGATTATCTGATGATGAATAACTCAGCTTTTGAGATGCTGATGGCTTGTAAATTGAAGTGAAGGTTAACACTTTTCTTCCTGGAGAGCAGCAGTCTTTCCCAAAGGGAGTTCTGTCAATATGGAGGCCCTAGAGATGCTGGAGTAGAGGTGGGAGTAGATCCTAAGATCACATTAATTTGGAGACAAGACATGGTATATACTTGCTTTCCTTGAGATTCACAACAGACGTTAGCATCTTACAGGCCTAAGAACCATGTTTTACTTTGTTTAATGGTTCATTTCCCAAATTTATTTGACTCACAGAACTCTCTTCTTGAGAAATACTTGTTACCATTCTTGGGCATTAGTGTTTCAGCAAACACTTTGACAAACACTGCTTTAAAGTCCTAGTGCGTTCACCTTCAACAATTTATCACTAATGTTTGCAAAGTTCTGTACTGTTTACACAAAGCTTTCACATGAGTCATCTCATTTAATTCTGGTAATTGTGATATAGCTGTTATTATCCTCATTTTTCGGTTGAAAAAAATGAAAGGTCAAACAACCAGTTAGTGATTGTCCAAGATTTGAATCTAGACTTCGAACTCCAAGACTTTTTAAACTATTATAATATTCTCCCTCTCCCTCTTCCCTCTCTCTCTGTCTCTCTGTCTCTCTGTCTCTCTCTCTTTCTCTTTCATATTTGATCCTTAAGTAGGGCACATCCTTGGTTAGAAATCTCTAGATTCACGTGTTAGTTGAAGCTTCTCAAGGGCAACACTATATCTTTACCTATCCATTACTCTCCTGCAGCAGGTGACATAAGTAGTGCACAAAAGGGTTATTGAAATGTGCTGAATGAAGAATGAATGAATGCATGAGTGCTCAATAACTGATTGAACTGGGCTAAGTACTTGGTTCCCTAAATGAACAACCTTAACAACCTCTTTACTGTTGCAAAAGTTCCAAGAGCAGGAGCAACGAATTGTTCCTAGTTTTCTTCCACAGGCCATCTAAAAAAGCTTTCCTAGAAGAATCCACTCTGTTGACAGATACAGCTCTTACAAAATCATGATACCACTTCCTTTGTTTTCCTTGAAGTGGGCCTCCTTCCTGTTCTACTCTCATGGGTAAGGCTACATTGAGATGAACAGAGGGTATTGTACACCTTTCTTTGTGCTCTTCTTCCCATAAAAGGATCGTCATTGCAACATTTTGACTGGGGTTTTGTTTGTTTTTATTGTTACTGATCTTATACTATTTGAGGCAGATCTGGAGAGAAAAATAGATTTTGGTTGGTACGGATAATGACTGCTTAGATTTTATTGTGTGTATAAAATCTTTCATTTGAAAGAGACAAATCCTGTAATCCCTATTCATTCTTTACTGAATGCAGTTTGTAAGTGCTTTGCAACTCAGCCCAGGCCTACCCCTCCAGCCTCATCTACTGCTACCCCCCACCAACCATTTTTGACCATCTGAACTGATTACAGTTCCTTAAGTTGTCCAGTTTACACCTACTATTCCCTTTACCTCTCTCTTATGGGTATCAGCTGGCAAACTCACATTCATTCTGCTCAAGTACCACCTCTTCTGAAAGATTAAACCCTAGAACGCCATTCCCAACTGAATTAGGTTCCCTCTCTCAACACTCCCACCACAATCCATCCATGTCTCTATCATGGCACCTACATAATAGCTGTAATTATTGGCTTCTTTTCCCTCTTTCCACTAAACTCATTCCATGTGAGTTACCAATGGGCAAGAATTATGATTTCCACCTGTTTCCTGAGCACATAGCATAGCATTAGACACATAGAAGGCACTCAAATATTTGTTGAGTGAATGAAAACATAGTTTCAAAAGAGTGTGAATTCCTGGAGTGCTTGTGAAATCATTTCACAAATATAAATGGTCACATGAATACAATGGGGGATAGCAGATTTTGGCTTCCCCCAAAATTATTTCCTTCTAATATTCTGCCTTAGAAGAACATAACAGCAGAAGCCTAGACATAATCATTCATCCATTCATTCATTCATTTACTTGTTCAACAAACATTCGTGAGTGTCTACTATATAAAAGGTGCAGTCCTAGGCACTTTCAGAGAGAAGGCACTTTCAAAAGCATCATGGATATGCACTGAACCTCAATTCCTTTTCCTGGGCACAAAGCTAAACTGCTTTGCCCATTGTCCTTGTATCAAGGCCATGTGACCTGTTCTAACTAATGGAACTAGAGCAGAAGTAGAGTTTCATTTCTGGATTTAGGCAACTAAGAACAGGTGAACTTTCACCCCACTGTCTCCCTCTTCCTGTACCTTGACAACCTTGGACCATTACTAAACCATGCTAACCACTGCTAAAGCTGGCAATGCAACAAGATGAGAGAAGTCTATGTCCTTGGCTGACTTCATGGAACAAAGCTCTCCCCACTGCCCACTAACCTTGGTTGGGTGGTGATGTGAGTGAAAAATAAACTTTCTTGTGTTAAACCACTAACATTTGGGGATTTTTTTCCCAATAGCTAGCTTTACTTACTCTGATTACCACTGTCATGAATGATAACACATAGATTACATAAAACAAAGAAAATTTTATCTCCTGCTCTAAGCATTGTATCAGAAACATGGAACATAAAAATTTATCAAAGAGGGTATTAAGGTCATAGAAACTTTTTGTTCCAAGTGGATAAAAGAAAAATCTTCATGGATATGTTTGGCTGCCTGATCAGAATGCTGACTTTTTAACCTGAAAACAGGCATAGAATCACTATCACATTATCTTCATCATCTTTATCAGCCCTTCTCAGTCTCTTTCATGCACTTTGAAGGATTTTCCCTAGTGGGCTTCAGGAGATATAGTGTTACGCAAAGTTGAATATATATTGAGGGCAAGCTAGGCATGGGAAAGTAGGCTCTGAAGGGTCATAAATATTTTACTAAGGACTTTGCACGTTTAATCTACAGGACACATAGTTGAATAAACTAGGAACTATTTATAATGTGATGAGTTTCTCTTTTCTTTCCTTCCTCCATCATCTTCTTCCCCAGGTACCTGGCACCCACTAAATTAAGGTAACAATGGGAAAATGACTGGTCATAGATGCTCCACTGAGAGATCTAATCATGATGAAGTCCTCTTCTCTCAGTACCTTCCCACAAAGCCCTTCCCCCAAACACCCCACACCCCTCATCCAAATTCCCTCCAAATCCCACTAATCAATGAAGCCTCACAGTACCAAAATGCTGACAGTTTCACTGGAGGCCAGATGAAAAATATTTAGCACCTAGCACAGGTACAGCAGCACCAGTGGGATTAAAGGAAGGCTATGAAGGAGAAAACAAAGAAAGACAGAATCCCGACAAAAAGGATTTTCTACCAACCACATGATCAACTCACCCAGGTTGAGCAGCTGGTCCAAAGAGGATGAGAGCACCTGGGCAGGTCCTATGAAACTGCCCCAGGATTCCAGAACACAGGTCCCCAGACTCACCGTGTAGAGCTGAGAAACATCTCCATCCCCACTTCTGTGAACTCTGTGTGGATTGGAAGAAACGACTCAAATCTGAAATAAGCGACTTGCATTCTTCTGGACTCTGTGTCAACGTGCTTAAGCCAGAGCTACATTCCCCCAAATTTCTTTCCCTATATAGTTCTAAGTTAGATTGACCAAAAAGAGGAATTTGGGCAAGATCTAGAAGGTAGAAGGGAAGCAGAGCTAGTCTCTCTGAAGATCATCATGACTACACACAGTAGCAGACAGACACAAAGATGCTGGCAGGTTCTGGCTGATTGTCTTCCCCATATCTAGCTTTTCTTCCCAACTTTTGGCCCTGATGACCACCAGAGGACCCAAGCCCGCCTCCAGGGCTTGATGGAAGACATACAGAAGCAGCAGCAGCTTAGAGATGACAGCTATCCACAGACTTTTCCACAGCTCTCCTCCTCGGTACCACACCAGCAATTGGATGTGCCTGGCTTCATTGCAAGTTCTGACCCTACGAGTCCACCTGTGCTAGGGCTTCATTAGGGCTGGTTAGTGACTTTTCTCTGATCCTTCATTCTCACTTTCAGAATTTTATTTCACCAATTTCTCCCACAATTCTGTAAGATCTATTCCTAGGTCAGTAATACTCTGGTGGATCTCCTTCCCTGATTGAACCCCTCTGCTACAC